ATATATATATATACACACACACACACATATATATATACACACACACACACACACACATAGTCTTCCTAAAAATGCTCTTTGCAGTCCAGAGGCAGCAGGAGTCACTGTGAAGGAAGAGCTGGGCAACATATGGCTGTAGAGTCTGCACTGGAAAAAGTCACTGGCTAAATATACGCCGACTGTTTGTTTTCTTTTATTTTCATGAGGCGAAATATGAGCTCTGCATAGAGTACAGCCTGTCAATGGGGTTTCCTACTCTAGCCTGCATGGAGTTAACTTCGGAAGAGGCAAGAAAACAGTCGCTCAAGCTAGTTAAAGAGGTATCACTGTCGATATCATGAAAAATGGAGTCGTTTCCTGCAAATGAAATGTATATGTTAAGCTGGATTCTGTGCAGCGAGAAGGACACAGTACACAGGGATGCTCATATGGTGCACACTGCAGCAAAAGGGAACAGTTTTGGTTTTGTTTTTACACTCTAACATAATTTCACACTAAGGGCCTGCTCTTTAAACAGACAGACCAGCAATCGATTCACAGAGACCCACTGGCAGCAATGCCACTTGCAAGTGTGGAAATCTGCCAGTATTTAATTTATACTCTAGTCACCAGCACAAAAAAAGAGTCTTGGCTGGCTGACACGAGCGAACAGCGGCAGGAGAAGGAACGGGTCCCTTGTGCTTTATGTGCCGGGATCCGGCGTTTCGGGGGGAACCGCGTGCCGTCGAGGAATGCGAGAGCAGACTCCGAGCACCCGGAATGGGGAAAAGTGGTCTGAGAACCATAACAAATAATGGTCTTCATTTACACAAAAGGCAGTAAAAGACGGATCTAAATCCGATGGAGCCCAGGAGGAGGGCCAGCTTTCCCGGGCTCAAATGATTTATAGCTGTAAACATGTTTTTATTTCAGAAAATTCCACTCTTTTTGGGCCAGTTTGGAACAGCACCTTTTATTCCCCCTAGCAACTAAAATTTCAACTTATTTCAACTCTTAAGTTACCAGAAAGAGCTCTAGTTCAAGTACTATGAGCACTAAGAAACTGTCCTGCTGGTTCTTTTTTTATACATTCATTTCAAATGGCTTTGTGTCATATCCTGCATTGCTTTTGAAACACAGAACATGTCTCCAAAGGAGTTTTGCTTAGAAAGCCAAGCAAATTGTTAGCAACAAAATCACAAGCCATCTAATGCTCATTTGTGCTTCAGATTTACTCATGAAATATGCTTGAAGCTTCAGCTCCTCATAGGGTTTACCAAAATGCCTGGTGTGCATAGACCCAAGCCAGATTTCCTGTTGGCCTGCGCATGCCACACTCATGAAAGAGATGTATGCACGTAACTCTGCAGTGAAGCGCTGCTTGGTCCACAGAAAAGTCGGATGTAACAGGCCCTTGTGGACTACAGCAAGGCCAGTAATCACAGTCTGAGAAATCCTCTTAATTTAATTTAAATGCTACACTGCAATTGTCCAGAATGAATTATTAGGCATTTAATGTTTGTGATGCACTTAGGTGTACCTGTCCACTTCATGTTGTGTGATTGGGAAACTGTAAAAGTAAACCATCATCTTGATTTTGGGCAGAGTATAAAATCATGCAGGAGAAAGGTTCTGTGGTGACACATCTCCCAGTAGCTCAAGAACAGCTCTTTAACAAATCCATACATCCAATCTGAGGAATCTTAGAGGGATGGGTATTTATTTTGGAACCAACAGATTAGTCCTCTCTATTAGACCACTTTTCAAGGCACTTTTTCCCCAAAGCTTTTAGGAAAAAGGAAAAACTTGTGAGGGAGATGATAGAGAGAAATTGGTAGTGTTTATTTTTAGAAGTCTTGGACAGTAGTTTAAAAAGTGTAGCTGGAGCACTGATGTTGCTTGTTTTATCATTTATAAGAATTCAACTGTGAAATAGTTCTGGAGGGTGTCCAGAGCCTGGCATGAGCTCTCTTCTACCCACTTAGGTGTGTATGAAAACAGACACATGAAACTGACTGACTCAACATATTCCCTGGTACAAATCCCAGAAAAAAAAATTGTAAAAGTCACTCTACTGAGCCTTTGGTGTGTGAACCAGCATACGAATCTTGCTATTTCTGATGTGGCAGAATGATGCATGCCTTACCATAAGGGTTCATGTGGTCGCCTGGCATTTGTGGAGGGGTAAGACCCTGCTGAAATGGGTCTGTGCCATAACTGCTTTGATCCATTGCTACAATCTGCTGCTGTGGAGGTGCAAGCGGTGTGTAAGATGTCATCATCCCTTCCATTCGGTTGGACATTACTTCTGCAAAGCAAACAGCAGGGAACAGTCACTGCTTAGCAATGAAGAGGCTGCAGACAGCAGCATCAGCTGCACTTACTGACCCTGAGAGCAGAGTGAGTGCAACTAGGTGTGTCCTGTCATTCAGGGGAGCCCTCCAAACCCTTGTCTAAGAGCACAACCCGGAAGAGTAAGTTGAAATATTTGTGATTTCTGACTATACCATTTCTGGAGCTCTCAGGGGCTGGACCATATCTTCCCAAAGTCTGTTTTCTGCCTGACATAAGCTCTTATACTCTCCAGCACCTGTCGGTGCCAGCCTAATACCGGCAATGCAGCAACAGTAGAGTAATTCCCTAAGCTGGTGTGCACGTTATTTCCAGCAAGCGACACATGCTTCCTCAACGGCAGCTCTGCAGGACACAGAGCAGCCCCATGTCCCACTCTCAGACCATGATCCCGAGGGCTAGGCCTGCTCTTGTGCTCTGGGTGAAGAGGATGATTTGAGGCTGCAAGGAGAACCTCAAAGGCACCCGCGGAGCAGAAGCACAAGCCCTGGCACCCTGGGCAGTTCCTCAGTACAGCTCCTCTGGACTATGTGTTTTCTCCAGGAAGGAGATAACAGCTTTTGTGTAAGGATCTCCAGGGACTGGCCACAGTTGTTGCATGCATGCAACAGGCAGAGGTGTGGGATAACCCCAGGTGGGACTTGGACACAGAACCTCCGTGTGTTTCCACTGATTACAGCACACGTTATCCACAGACTTGTGGATAGCATATGTGGCTGTACGTAGACACTGTGCACCCATATGGGAATGGCACTTCCAGAAACCTTGCAGATTCCTTTCCCCTTGCTTTGCCTCCATCGCAAGTGCCCTACCTTGCCCTAGTCGCTGAGAGTTTTGTTGCTCCTGCTGCTGCTGATGCCTTCGTGCTAGCTTTTTCATCTGAATAAAAGAGGAAGAACAGAAAAATCTCAAGGGTCTGAATGGAACAACTCCATTTCCTTACAAAACTCTCTGCAAACATCAAACCAGTTAATACAGACCATGTATATTCATGCACACACCACTGTGAGTTCAGTTTCATTCCTAAACTTAAACATTTGGGTTTCCAGTTCATATTTGCATGCAAAATCTACTCCCAACCTCATGCTGCTTTGAACACACTAACTTAATGTCTGTGTTTGAAAACAGCCCTCCTCATATGGATGTAGACAGCAGTGTGTGCAAAATATGCACAGGAGTGGAGCAAAAATGCATCAGATTTTCTGAAGGTTAGTCCCTGGGGTCTTGGAAGGTTAGTCCCTTGGGTCCCTTGGTAAGGGGTCTTCCCTTACGTCTAAAGGGAAAGAAAATTTCTGCAGTGGAGAACGGTTTGTGTTTTACCTTTCGGAACTTGACAAACAACCTACCTTTGCTCTTTGGTTTTGAAACCAGACCTGGACAACTCGCACACTGAGTCCTGTTTCAGCTGCTAGTGTTTCTCTGACCTACAGGAGGAAATGTTTAATGATGTAATTTCTTTTAAAAACCATCTAATAAGTTATGTTAAGAGGAAGATGTCTGTACTTACAATAAAATGTGCATGGGCAGAATTAATTTTAAAAATCCCTCAGATATTTTCAGAGATTGTGCAAGTTCCGCCTTTCATGTCACTATCAGTTTCCTAAGTACTGAATAAATAGTCTAAGCTGTGTAATGTAGATGTGTTAAATCATTTCATGATATTTATTTTATCCATAAAAACAGGTCTGTGTAAAATAAATGTGAATTTGCTAGGAACAATTTCTATATTTTTCTAATACAAATTCATACATTAAAAATGCAAAAAGGAACATTGCATTGTCCCAAGAACTATACTTTCTATATAGGCAGGTGAATTTCACTTTTTACAACAATGACAGCTTTCAGGATGCAACTCCATCTCTGTCCACTCAAACTTAGGAAACGGGCATCCAGTTTGCTTTACACAAAGATCTGATTTTCACCAGTGAAGCAACACATTACCCCCTTGCTTAGCTGCTTTAAGTGAGATTAACACCATGGTCAAGTTTCACAAAAAAAAAAAAAAGAGACTCATAAAAAATAAGACTTGTCCTTACTACTTCTGTTGTGGGAAGGACAAGAGCAGGAAATCGCCTGTTCACCTAGGCTGTAAAGGTCAATGGCTGCTTTATGTTTTATAAGAACCAACCAAACGTTCCTGTTTAGCAGGAACTGGCCATGGAGCTGGTACTATACACTGTGGGTGAACATCCCTGAACATAACATTCAGCAGCTCCCAAGCTACAAATTGCTCACGGCTGAGAGAGCGCCCAGGTAGGCATCGCCAAACACTGGCTGGGTTCTGGGGTTCCTCCCGGGCACCGGTGCTGGCCCAGACACGGGGCAGGGTCCTGCCTGGATCGGTGCCCTAACCAGGGCGGGTGTCAGAGCTGACTGCGGGTCCCTGCTGAAGCACCTACCTTCCTACAGGGCTTGGAAGACACTTCAAAGGAAGCTTTGAATGCTCGCCTCTGCTGCGTCGTGAGTATTGTCCTTGGTCGTTTAGGTCTCCTTGGGTCCTTCCCATCATCACTTCCTTTTCCTTGGGTTACTTGTCCTTTGGTGGGTTTAACATCACCATCCTCATCATCACTTTTAACTAGTGAAAAATAAATAGGATATTAAATGATACTTGTTCCACCAAGATAACGGGGTGTTTGAGGACGGCTCCATAGCTGCCAAACTAGTTGACAGATTCAACTACGATCCTACACCTGTTTGATTAAATTCACCCTCAGCAAGAGGAGATAGACTTGTGTATGCTGCCTAAATCGAATTCCAGGAAAGTACAAAAATGTGATTAATTTTTAATTGAGGGCATTGGGACAATGTGTCTATATGTGCACGCACAGATTTATCTTTCTTGGTAAATACATACAAATATGTATGTGCATGGGTAGAGTAAATAGATCATTTGTAGTTTCTACGGTTAGTTTTCTACAGTTAAGCTCTGAATAATCTTATAATTCAGTGATATTATTATATCTATATATATATATTGATTATTATATTATTATTTCCTTCTATTTGGAAATCTCAGTCTCAGTGCCAAAGATTGACAAGTGAGTGCATATTTCATTCTGAAGAATAACTCTGCATCTCATTGCTCTTTATTTCACCAGACTACTGATTTTTCTTTCAGAAAACATTAATATACTATTCTGGAGAACTTTAATATTAAGAAATACACTGCAATCTTGATATACTCAAAGGTTACATTTGGGGAATTAACAAATTAGACTTTTAATTCATTTTAGGGTCTGATTATTATTCACCTAGCAATCTAATCACCTTTTACTTTAATAAGCATCTTTTGCATAATGCTTAAAGAGAAGTTCAGTCATTTTAATAACCACGACATTATTAACTTTCCAGCATGCCATTTCTAAGGAAAGGTTTGTGAGGATTAATATTGCTCATGTGAGAGTTACTTTTGTGTCCAGTGGATAAATATTTGATTGGAGAAGGAAGGACATATACTCAGCCAGAGCTATGTGAAATCATTTGTGCTCACATAGCCATTTGGGAGATCTGTGTTTTCACTCTATTAGACAACGGGGGACAAAGCATCCCATTTAATTTGTCAACTTGTTTTTCAGGTTTGGGTTTGGCTAAGATAGAGAATAATGAGAGGAAAAAAAAAAAGGATCTCCAGGACTAAGAAACTACTCCTTACGCCAACGGGAAATGAAACTGAAACCAAGGTTATTTTGTGCTGCTTTGGTAGCTTTATGCCCAGCTGATTACAAAACACAGGCAAAATCTGGTAGCGAAGGAGAGCATATTTGTGCCAAAAGCAGATCTCAATATTGGCAGTGGCCAATAGCAACTGCGAGTCCCTGCCATGGTGAGATCGCTCACTACGGGCAAAGGAAAGCAGGGTGGAGGACTTCCGTGTGCGTTGCTGCTGGGTGGCCACGTGCGAGGATGGGAACAGCCCAGCACGTGGGGCTCTTCAAGGGGGTTTGTCTGGCTGCAGACTGACTAAGGGCTGCTGTCCAGACTGAGCAGGGGCTGCTGGAGGTGGTGATGGGCGCAGTCACCAGAGGCTGCTGAAGGTGGCAGTGAGGGGGAGAGTGCAACATGCTGAAGGGCAGACGGAAACGTTCATGCCCCAGACAAACTCACAAAGAGCCCAAACACTGTGAGATGAGGTTTGCAGAGCAAAGAGGTCTTGCAAATACAGTATGGCAATAAATAATATGCTGCTCCAAGAAAGGCGCGGGAGCTGCACGTCTTGCTGAGTCAGCAGTGACCTATGTCTTGCCGCGTTCTTGACATGAAAATGTAAATTTGAGCAAGGCGATGGACATAGCTCTCAGATTAGAGATTAAGGATAATTACCACACCTAGTTAAGCTGGGAATACTGTATTTTCCCATAAACCAGAGGTGAACATTCATGTCATTTGTACACTTAACGGAATGATAATTGTTGATTTTCTTAGACATTTTCTAGGGAAATACATGAGTGATTATGATGACTGGCAGCAATTTTTGTATACACTGTCTCCAGTCTTCGAGTCAGTTGGGCAGTACAAGGTCTCCAGACTCCACGGGTGCATATGGCAAAGGAACGAGGAATCCTGTGTCTTCTGAAACTGCAAGAGGTCGTGAGCCTGAAAAGCAGTCTTCTCTGTCCCCACAGCTACAAACTCTGGATTTGAGGCTGGAAAACCCAAACCCAGCATGTGAAATAACATTTGCCCTGTGCATAGCATGTGTTCCCTCCCAGCCCTGAACAGACAGCATGCAGTTTGCAAACCCTCTTTTAAAATTTCCCCCAGAAGTGGGCGGAAGGAAGGGGGTATTCTCCACGTCACCACACAGAATTCGAGGGACACACCAAGCAGCTGCTATCGCTTGTGAGGCTCCATCATCTTCTTCACGAGAGGACAAAAGCTCTGCTTATACAGGGTAGTGACTTTGTGCCTGAATTCAAATTCTGCTCGAAAATTGGCCATGCCGGCTTACAAACGTTATTCCTTGTGCTGAAGAGAGGTTGCATTCACACCGCCGATTAGCAGTAGCACATTTTAGTAAGATATCTAGTCCGTTATCCCCTGAGCTTGCACAGTACAAACTCCTTTAGTTTTCTCATCAGGAACAGTGCAGGACCTTCTGGGATACCCTTGGAGACCTGCAACAGGCCAGGGGACCAACCTTGCTTGCTTCATGCCTGTACTCTATGTAGCTCTCCTTGGGTCCATACCTAGGAGATCTCACAGGTGTATGCCAGGCTGGGCCTCAGATGCAAACCAACAGGCATGCAAGGGGCACGATCAGAAACCGGAGCCTTAGCAGCAAGGAGAAAGTCCGGGTGAAGTCAGGAGAGTTAAGCTTTGTACCTGGCTTGAAAGCATTAGAGAGAGTCTCCCCTAAACATCTCGTTCAAGATACTACTTTTAATTTTTCTTTTTGAGTGAGCCCCCTTGCCTGCCTGAACAGGAGTGGATGTGTGGACAGCCTTGCCCAGTGTCCCTGGTGGCTGCTGTGGCTTCCTCCGCACTGCACATGCCATTGCTGGAATGCAAAACCCATTTCGCCGTTTCTGCCAAATTCACACTTGCAGCTTTTCTTAAAGTTACATTTGTGATTGGCAGAGAGATATACATTTCAGTGTACTCTGGAAAATCATACTACTGCTTTGCCCATTTTCCTAGATCCCAGCTGAAAGCATAGCACCCCCGTTCTCAAAGGAAAAAAATACTTAAGTGGACGGAAGAATGCCTGTGGGAAACAACACACTTTGATCAGGCCCCAGGTAACCGAAATCACTCAGATTCACTTGCTATAATTTTATAGAAAAGCATAATCCTGACAGCTTGCAAAAGTTTTTGTTCTTTACTAAGACAGCAGCAAACTGAGGAAGGGAGTGAAGTTAGGAAAGAGACTGAAAGCAGGGATTTCAGCTGTGCCTGCTAAGAGCTGCAATTTGCACTGGTGGTGTGTGTATACAGATAGATGGATCTGCAAATAGATACACTTTCTATAAGAAAGCTCTGCAAAGCCTTACGGCTTTTCTAGTTGGAAGAGGTGTGGGAAAAGCTCACCTGAGTCCGAGTCGTCTGGGCTGACCGAGCTCAACAAATCTTTTTCTTTTTCATAGTCACTTTTGCAGAGCAACTGTCCTTCCTTAAGAACAAATTCGTCCCCTTTCCTCAGCTGTCGTTCGCAAACGCAGCAGCAGAAGCAGCTTAAGTGGTAAACACACTCCAGGGCTCTCATCACAAATTCTGTCGGGGCGATCTTCTCCATGCATCCACTGCACTTAGCAGCAAACAGCCTGCAAGAGAGAGAGTCAAAGCGAATGTCAGATCATCCACTGCACGTATTTAAATACAACAAACTGTTTAATTTAACTACCGACCAGCTTGCCACGCACGTTTGTGCACAGGGAGACTTGCACTCTGAGTCTTGGAAACATCCAGGGCATGCAATTCATTCAGATTTCCACCCCTTTTGGTCTAGGAGTCCCAAACCACCTCTGCCTTGACTGGATGAGAAATACTAAGATTTGTCTCTATCTTACTGCTTTGTTCCTCTTCAAAAGGAGAAAGAAAAAGGAGCTCTCAGAGTTTGGATAACGTTTTTCCAAAACAAATTCATTTTAATTGACATTTAAGAGGAAAGGCTGAGTCACAATTTTTTTTATGCACATGCTCTGATATTATCACTTAAAATCTGTTCTGAAGAGATTTCATGACTTTCCCTTCTCAGTACTGTCTGTCTCCAAGGAGGCACAGAAACAAGCAAGGAAACTCAGCGCTGTTGCTGAAGAGAAGATGACACACACATGCAATTGATAAAGAGAGGAGTAGAATAACATGGCTTTTCTTTGGATGTTGAGTTATTCCAGAACAACCTGTCTCTGAAGAGAGTATGGTGCATTTTAAATGGTGTGAAACATCCTTTGGCAGAGATAGGCAGTGATACAATCAGCTAAATTACCACTATAATCACAGGCTCTAGCATATACACTATATTCCAGACTAGTTCTTATTAAACGTTCATAAACCCCCTCTTTCATCCATCACTAATTTTCTAACATAAAGTTTGAATGATTTAGATTAATTTTATTTTGCTTTTCTAATGGCAACTGGGAATCTCCCTAAGTGAGATTTTAAGAGGAGTGCTGTTTCAAATAAAGATGAATAGCTACGTTATGTCCCTGCATCACATGGTGGGCTTGGTGATTTGAAATTCAGTGGCTTTTATGGCAATACATCAAAGCGCAAGGTGCATTAACATTTACATTTTTGCAACGAAATGAACCCAACTGCACTGCTGAGTTCACAGGGAAAAGGAGGCTGTGCCTTTTAGGATGGGGTGCTCTGACTTTTTCATCCTCAAAATTATCACCTTTTAGATAGAAGGCAAACATCATCTATTTGAGAAAGCACAGCCTGTGGCAGCCTGAGTCCTCCAAAGACTCCATTTTGTCTGAGCTGTGAAAATACAGCAAAATGGCAGTCACCTGCGCTTCTGCAAAACGATGGAGTCATGAAATGGGTAGGAGGAAAAGAAAACATTTAGGTTTGCATACTAAATTCAAAGAAAGGCTGAATGCCCAAGAACTTGTTTTTTTCTGTCTATATCTTTTGATCTAAAAAAGAGATTTACTCTATTAACCTTGCTGGCTTGGTGCATGTCTTTGCACCATCCCGGCTACAACATGACAGCCATGCATTGTACAAGCCTCCCAGAGCAGACTGAGCAGCTCTTTTTTGGGTACATAATGAATTAAGTCTATTAAACGGAAACTGAGGCCCTTGGGGACCTATGGCCACCACTGGTAAATAGGCCATTTTATTTCCAACTGTCTATTGGGTTTGTCTACAACTTTTTCTTGATGTTTTGCAAATTTTAACAGAAAGAAAAATATGATGTTTATACTTTGACTAGTAAAGCTCACAAAAAATATTACAATGCTTTAGCTAGCAAATTCCGATGCAGCAGATATTTTTTATGCATACATAATAACATATCTAACAGCAGTAAAACACAAAGGGGAAAAAAAGAGCAAACATTTTAACCGCTTTGAAATGTTGTTTCTATTTAACTGCTTAAACCTATTTGAATGAGTTTAATTAAGCTTGTATCTTTTGTCTAAAGAGTGTTGTTATGATGGAGCACACTTAAAGAAGCTGAAGATTAGCAAATCTGGTGTGAAGGCATCCGTCTCCCCTAACTGGCATCAGTTCATTTATACTACTGTGACAGTTAACCTGTGTACGCTTCAGTAAAACTCAATTGATGGCTATCAGGAGGGACAGGACGAGCCCTCCATGCGGCAGCAGCTCTGATGGGCTGCAGATGTAGCAGCCAGGCTGGGAAACACCGCTGCTGTTTCTGTTCCTGCAGCCTCCAGGTTCCTGGCTTCATCTGCATTTCAAATCAGTGCTGCTCTTCTGAAAAGCCCTAAAAAGAAACTTCGGAAAGTGACCGTGATCCTGCAGCTACTGGCACTGAGTTGTTTCTAAAAAATCTTCATGATGCTGCTGCGGTAATAATGATCAAAACGCTGTGGTTGTGCTGTTAATAAAAATAAGGCTGTGAATGATCAGTGTACTTCATACTGGGTTTTTCCACAGAAAGAGTTAAAGCAGGAGGCCTGTTCCACCAAACCTCTCCGCAGACAGAGCACAGAACCAAGCTCCCAGGCACCGAGAGCACAGGGCCCCTTTTCTCTTTGAAAAGGGGATCCAGCAGAGATGCTGGCTCCGAGAGGTTGTGCGTTAAGCCTGTCTGAACCAAACCCGCCCACATCGCACATCAGCTGAAGCAGCACCCAGCTTCACGTGAGGAGCAGCTGTGGGATCCCGGGGCAAAAGTGGTAGACGGGCAGGTCCCTCCAGCCTCACGGGAAGAGGAAGAGTTTTCCCTGGAAACAGTGCCGGAGCCAGGCTGGCAAGGGCTCGCTACAGATGTTTGCAAAGGGGGTGGCACACAGGCACTTCTGGGCCTCTGAAAAAAATGGGACTGATACTGCATTAACGGTGCATTGCATTAGGTAAGACCATAACTGTCTCCAGTTTTCTCCTAAGCAAAACCATCTAGAAGCAAACCACAAAATCTGCCATCAGCCAGAGGAAGTAAAAACACAAATGTAACGTGGATAAAGTAGGAAAGCATGTACCTCCCCTGCTTTCACATTTCTTCTAATTGGGACTAAGAACAATCTACTTACTTTCTCCTTATTCTTGTGCTATGGAGTGTATTGTTTACCTGAGTAGTACCTTCTATGCCATATTGCTTTATCAAGCTTTTTTTTTTCTCTTTTTCTTCAAAATAAAAGATGTCTAACATAAATAGAAAATATTACAAATTATTTATTGGCAACTGAATACAGCCAGAAGGATGGTGCTTTATAGTAACATTACCAAAGGCGGTCTTTAAGTTATAATGAATTATGTTGCCATCAAGGTAGTATTAACTCATTCAGATTAGCAGTTATATTTCTGTCTGACAATACTGCATCAACTTCATATTTTTAATTTGTCCTTTGTCAACATAATGAAATTCCATAATCTGCACTCAGATACTTCTCAGCATTATAACGTGCACTTATACCAACACACACACACAGATTGCACTGTGTAGGATTTAATTCTGAGGTTTTGAAATCTTCATTAAATTTATCTTACAAAGTGTTTATAGTTTCTTTTTCAGCTTCCAGAGAGTAACCCAGGGTTATGCACTTTTTTGCACAAGGCAATCTCACAACAGGAAACTAATCTTGACAAATGACCAGACTTTGATATCTGTGATCTAAAACACTGCTCATTAGACTGCTCATTTTATAAACGAATGGTAATAAACCTGTTGAGAAGTGTAGGATAGCAGGAATACTTTACAGATCACCCCTTTACAGGTTTCAGTCAAAGCAATAAATTTGAAGAGGAGCATGCAGATATTCTGTGCTGAGACAGAGACTCTGTCCCACACCAACCACATTTAAAAAAAATTTCTTTTGCTTTCTATACATTTTACAAATAATTTGCATAACTCTGCCTTTTTACCCCCATGGCTGATTATCTCCAGCTCTCTTAAGTTAATGTCAAACCTCAAAATCCTTGGACTTGTTAAAGTATGCAGAGAGTGGAAATCAAATGCCTTTATTAGAAGCCCCGGGAAATCTCTGACTCCTCAGCACAACGAAAACATTCCAAAGAAAACTGTTCAAAGAGGACAAAGGAGAAAAGCAGAACAAGAAAACCTTGTTTTGAATCAATGATTGCAAGAGTTTTATAAATAAATTCTGTTGCCTGGACAATTCTGAAAGACAACTCAATAGGTTTAGGGGTTTTTAAGTGTGTTTGCCTCTATGCCTGAAACACTTAGGGGATTCAGCTGAGCTAAAGCTTGGAACAATGGGCTGCTTTGTTCATTTGAGTATTTGCAATAATCACTGTGAAACAACTTTACAGTACTAGATGGTAAAAAGTATTCACCACTTAAAAATGGGTGAACTTACCAAAGTATTTTGCATATATTTTAGGAGCAATGAAATCACTAAGACATGTGGTCCTGTCTTTAAACAGTAGATGAAAATGTTCACTAGCGGAAGAGGCCATAAAGATTTTATTTGTTAGGATATCCCTGTGAAGTCAGGCTGAATCAGTAATCCTTACAAACACAACCACAGTTACATGATCCATTGTGCCTTCCTGCATGGGCACAACCATCTGGTGTTTAATACGTACTACTGATTTATTATCGCTAGCGTAGTTATCTTGCTGTAAGTTTGACCCTGCTCTGCTCCTGAGAATCACTGTTCTGCTGTTTACTCTTATAATGTCCTGACAACCTGCCCTTTACCTTTCTGCTGCTCACCCAGGTCCTTCATTTCCTCCTGTTTGTAGGCAAATAGATTTTAATTGTTTTATTATAACTAATTTAATCTGTGCTGAGAGATCTTGATGTGCAGTGTGAAATTTGCTGTTCATATTAAGTGTGGTTCAAGAGGTTTGTTATACAGGACAGAGATATAAAAATAGACTAATTCAGGCTATTTGTTTATTTACTAGACTTCTGCAGTGAAACAGTAAATAGGAAGTTATTAAGCCATGTTTGATATACGCTAGAGGACAGATGCTGCTGTCTAACTATCGGAGATGTTAAATCATGTTCTTTTCTGTCCGGTTCTGACGTTCTGTGTTGCAAGAAACCATAGCAGATACCTGGCTTTTCTTTCTGTACTAAATACGCAAAGATGGTGGTCACAAGCTTTAGTAAATATTGTTGGTAGACTTTAGGTCTGGTACTTTTCTTTCTGGT